GCCAGATGGGAGGGGAGTTGGGGATTAGAGAAAAAGCAGGGGGGATTAAGAAGTACAAATTGGTTGTTACCCAGTAATGATGGGGATGTAGAGTATAGCATAAGGAATACAGTCAATAATATTGTAATAACTATGTATGGTGTCAGATGGGTACTAGATTTATTGGGGCAATAAATGGGAGGGGGTGAGGGCAGGGTGAAAAAGTTGAAGGGTTTAAGAATTACAAACTGGTATTGCAGCGCTATTCACAATAGCTAAGACTTGGAAACAACCGAAATGCCCATCGGTAGATGACTGGATTAAGAAACTTTGGTACATTTACACAATGGAGTATTACTCAGCTATAAAGAAGAAGGAAATAGTACCCTTTGCAACAATATGGATGGAACTAGAGAACATTATGCTAAGTGAAATAAGTCAGTCAGAGAAAGACAAATACCATATGATCTCACTTATACGTGGATTCTAAGGAACTGAATGGATGGGAGACGTGGACGGAGATAGTCTCAGAGACACAGAGGAAGAACTGAGGGTTGTTAGTTGGGAGTGGGTGGGGATGAAGGAGAAGGGGAAAGGATGAGACAATACAAATTGGTAACTACAATATGGCCTCAGGGATAGAAAAAGACAGTCTGGGGAATATAATCAACAATGTTGCAGATATTTCTTGGGGGGCCAGAAGGACTCATGTCTGGTGGGGGAGACCACTTCATGGTCGGTGTGGAGGCCTGGCCACCGCACTGTATTTCTAAAGCTGATGTTGAATAATAGTGTATGTCAACTATAATTATATATAGATATAGTCACGGGTCATGGAGTAGAGAGTAGGAATGGAGTCAATGGAATTGTAATAGACAAGCATGATATCGAGGGTGGGAAGACAGTAGATAGGGTGAGGGGGGTTGTTACTTTGTGAGGGTGAAAAAGATAACTATTGCATTGTTCTGGAGACCTGAAGCTAACAATTAAAAAAAATTTTTTTTAAATAAAACAAATAAGTCATGGGGATGTAATGTACAGCATAGGGAATATAGTCAATAATGTTGTGATAGCGTGGTACAGTGTCAGATGGTTCCTGAACTTATAGTGATCACTTCTTTAGGTATAAATGTTGAAAAACTATGGTGTACACCTGAAACCGATATAATATTGTATGTTAACTATATTTTAATAAAAATCTTTTTTAAAAAGTAAGTATAATATAAAGAAAAAACTAATGGGAAAGTAGGGGAAGAATTTGTATCATAAACCTTCTAATTGTACATCAAAACTTTAATACATTAAAAATATAAATATATAAAATAAAATACTTCATTCAGGTCCTTAAAAAAAAAAGAAAAGGAAAGAAATCTGAAGATCTTAGATCATGCATTAAGGGCATGGTTTATGAGAAAAAATTAACATAGAAACCCAACCAGCAGACTCAAAGAAAGGCCTTGACCATAAGTCAAAAGATTGGCTTTCTTTCATTAAAATAAAAAGTTTCAAGTATAAAAAAAAAGGAACAGTTTCCTGAAGCTTCTTTCTTCTAACTAATGGAAAACCTGTCTCCTGTGATGAGAAAAATAATTATTAAACATTTTTATTTTACTTAAAAAAAAAGATTGCAACTTTCATCCATCCAAATAAATATTTTACATTTCCAACATCTATATACTAACTCATCTCATTTAGCAAAATAAATGGATCCCTGGAAAGGTATACATAAATCCATTTTTAAGTTTTATTTTAGATATACCAGAAAATCCTGTTTATGACTCTGTCATGAACATTTTGGAATCTAAATGATTAAATTTTGTTTATAGACCCAAGTATTGAATGTTGTTTTAAATTTCCCAAGTTATATGTAGAAGTGGGTGATTAAATTCATGATGATGCAGAAGTTGATCGTGAAATTCTCTACTCTCCCTTTATGGACCTGTGGACTCAGGTACATGCTATCTTGGAGAGCACAGAGCTTGGTGCCATGTACCGAAATGCTGTCATTACTGAGGTTGGGTCACAGAAGACCTCAAATAACAGTTGAGTCCTGGAATTACTGGGAATTGACAAATCTAGGTCGAGTCGCATGTTTCCTTTGGCAAGATTTATCCTTGCTTGAACCCTGGCCATCCTAAGGTTGTGTAGTTACACTGTGCGTGTTACTAGCTTGGTTTATTAAACCCATGGCTGGAGACGGTACTACTGACTTAATGTTTATTGAGCACCCAAAATGTGTCCAGCACAGTACAAGCCCCAGCCTGAAGAGCTGCACACAGTGAGTCAGCCACACATGCATCTTACAAACACATGACAAAGACATCAGTGCATGAAGGGAAATCAACCAAGGACCTCCCTAGAGAAACAAAGGCGCTCCTGATCTCCCACTTGTGAGGAGTGGACCCTGCGTTCACTCCCAGGTCTAGCCACACTCTTGCCTGGATCCCCTTAATGTCAGTTCCGTGACTTGCATTTGCAAGACTACACAAGATGGTCAGGAATGCAAGTCACAGGACAGAGATGGTTAACTAGCCCACCTGAGAAAATTAACCTGGAACTTAGCATGCACACACACGCGCGCGCGCGCGCGCGCGCGCACACACACACACACACACACACACACACACACCATAGAAGAGCAGGCTGGAAATCCACAAGAACAAAATTCAGGAAGTTTACATCAATTGGAATATTGTTACCTTAGCATCTCTCACAGTTGCTATTTCCAGGTAACTGTTGCCAGCACATATTGAAACACTCCCCAGCCGATTCAGTGAGATAAACCTATTGATTGACTGCCAAAAGTGAGACCTGGTGACAATGCTTGCAAAGAGGATTACAGAACCTCCAGTCAGCCTTGGAAAGGGCTGCTGCCAAGTACCAGGCTGGCTCAGTTCCCAGTGTTATGGTCTATAGGACTCCTTGCAGGAAGAGGACTGGATGCTTGGCGTTACCTAACATGAGTTATATTAAGTAAAAATTTCTACTTCAACCTTCTGTGGATTTCTCTAGAACTCGCTTCTGAGAGATTTTTTTTAAGCTAATTTGTTTTATAGTCAAACTAGTCCTAAACAGATTTCAGATAGGGTAAGAATTAATTAGTTGCTGTTCAGTTGCCAATTTGCTTAATTTGTAAAGATGTTTACAACACAGCATAATTCTCTGACCTCTTTAGGCCCTCTACAAAGTCTATGTAAATGTTACAAATTTTAAGTTGTAAGCATGATAGAAACAGGTGGCAGCTTTTCTAGTAATGAATGGGGACACTTTCTTCTCACGGTTGCTATACACTTAAATCAAGCTAATTAGGGAATACTTCAATTTTTTTTAAACCCTGGCAACTAGGATTTGGAATAATTCATGGTGTATAGTTTTATAATGCAATTGGCCTGAAGCTGAATGATCATACTTAAAAAAAAAACACAACTGAATGGACTGCCTTACACATGGGAGACGAGTAAGGAAACCGTTGAACGAATACCTATATATTTCTGATTGTAATGAGTAGCCTCCATGTGATCCATTGAGTATTGTCTGAAGGCTCAAAGAATATTCTCCAAGTGTGGGATCTAACCCACTTCAGAATTCAACTGCAAATTCTTAATACCTTTAGCAGGGACACTGGAAGCTTCATCCAGATGTTCTGAGTTTCATTAGAAGAAGGATAATTCTTCAGGTGCTTAACCGTGGATGCATATTAAAACCACCTGAAGTGCTTTGAAACACACTGATGCCCAGGCCCCATTTCAAATCAACTGGACTCTCTGGGGATAGGACTCAGGCAATGATGTTTTTTGAAAGCTCCCCCGGTGATTCTAGGAGCAGCTGGGGCTGAGAACCAGTGATTTAAACTTTCCAACAAAGAAGCTGCAATGAATCAGATTCCTCCCCAGCTAATCCCAGCCTTTACCCCACCCCTCCACTCTCCACACATACCCACCCAAAGGATGCTCTAAGGACACATGAAATGCCTTGCTTTGAGCCTCCCAATTAATGGAGCACAGGAACCAGTCCCTGCGAAGCCTGGGAGGTGAGCTCATTTGGAGCGGGAGAGTGACATATTGTGGGCTACATTATTAAAACATAAGGTCGTCGTTCTCCACATCCATAGGTGACGCTGAAAGTTAGTTTTAGTGCCATTGCCAGAGGTAATTTGCCCCTCCCAAGTTAACCTCCCTTTTCCCTTCTCTCAAGCCAGGCTTTTCCTAACCTTCCCCATGCTGTGAAAATTATAGTCATATTACTACTAAGTATTCATATTGATAACTTGCCCAACCATGAATACTCACTCTTCCATCATGGCTGCTGACATTGGAGTAATAGGATTTAGTCCTTGTCATCCTCAAATCACCCCCTTTCCCTTCCTTTGATGAGTGAGTGAGCTCATTTCTGAGAGTGAGAAAACGGGAGAGAAGGTGGGGAAACTGATTCTGCTGTTTAGTGAGCTGTGACAGTACTGAAATCTTACAGAGGGTGACTACGTGACTGCAGACACTAGTTCATGCTCTATATGCCATAGCAGCTGCTCTGACAATTGACTATCACGTATCATTTCCCAAGACTCCTGCCCTCACTGTCTGGTCACTCTTCCAACATCAACGTGAAACCCAAGTCACAGGAAACTTGTCCTCAGTTACAGAATTCTTGGGAGGTTAAGGTGAGGATTATCAGGGTGGTATCCTGTTCGATCTACGCATTCTGAGGGTGACAGTTTATTTTTCTGGTCTGGCCCTAAGTAAGCTTCTCCCAGCCCTTATATTCTGGGTTGATCATGTTCCAAGTGTGCCACCACAGAGCAGCTGCTGAGCAGTCAGATAACAGCTGTTGATCTGTTGTAACTGAGCAATTAGAGAATGCAGGGGAATGCTGTGGCACAGTTTACACTTGAGTATTCAGAAAATCAAATATTTGAGTGCCCACCTTGTGGCAAATACTAGGTGTGTATACACAAATATACACACAGATGGGATGTCTGTCCTCTGCACAGCTATATGTCCCCTTAAGTGGTTGGTATCTTTCCTCTTTATTCCTATGTATCTACCGCTTCATTGACTAATTCATCTCATCATTTTCAAATGGAAGTTGGGGAATAGGGAGGCGGGAAACAATATCAAGACCTTTTGAAAGGTGGTTTGTAAGTGTTTTTGTACTATAAATGCAAGTGGATTTAAGATTGAACCCCTTTTGATGTATAAAGGTCTTATTCAGGAAATGTTGAAATCCTAGATGTAGATCTGTAATACACATTTCCCTGGAATTCTAGAAATAAATGGGTTCAAATTCACTAAGCAATTTCAGATATTTATATCTTAGTGGTGTCCTTTGTAAAAGGCGACCTGAAAAGCTTCACCAACTCCAATGCAGTCATTTCAAATCCCACCCCCATTGTTCCTTTATCTCACCATTGAACAAACAAAAGGCAAAGCAAGGAAGACAGCTGCAGTTCTGAAATACTGTTTTGAAACCGGAGAAAGAGTTTTGTTTGGCCTTCAAGGTCATAAAGAGGAAATAATAAATCCTCTCCCCTCTCCCCGGCCTTTTCCAAGCAAAGCATTCCCACAAAAGCCCATTTAACATTTTACAAAAAATACAAGGACAAGGCAGGACAACTGGAAAACAGGGCTGGGCTGGAAGTTTTGCCTGCATTGGCTTAGCTCTGGTGCTGAGAATAAGCTCCCCCGTCCAGCCTGGGGTGGGCACCCTCGGAGACCAATGGACGTGGGAGCTCCCCGGCCCAGGCCTGCCGCAGTGGCATCAGATGACCACGCTGACTGTCATGCTCTGGCCATGCGGCGCTATCTTGCGGGGCCAGGAGAGCAACAGCTTGCGCAGCTCCTCACGGAAGCTGTCGTGCAGCCAGGCATAAATGAAGGGGTTGTAGCAGGCCGAGCTCATGGCGAGCCAGTGGCAGAGCAGCTGAACTAACCCAAAGGCATAGGGATCGATGGCGTGTGGGTCGAGGTCCCGCAGCAGGTTGAAGACGTGCAGCGGTAGCCAGCAGATGGCGAACACCACCACGACCACCACTAGCAGGCAGAAAGTGCGGCGGCGCCGCGCGCGGTCCCATTCGGCCTGGCTCTGGGTCACGCAGCCGGGCACCACGCGGTTCCGGAGTTTCACCGACACTCGGACATAAGACAGGAGTATGACCAGCAGGGGAAGCAGGTAGGTGACAAGCAGCAGCCCCCAGGCGTAGAGCTGGCGCTGGCGCTCCTGCGACCCCCAGAACTCCTCGCAGAGGCACACGCCGTGCGGCTTGAGCTCGACGTGGTAAGTGTGCAAGGCGGCGGGCAGCGCCAGCACCGCGGACAGCGCCCAGATGGCCAGCACCGCGTAGGCGCTGAGGCGCAGCGAGATGCGGCGGCGCAGCGGGTGCACCAGCACGACGTAGCGATCCACCGCGATGGTGGTGAGCGTGAACACCGACACGTAGACTGTGACGGGCTGCAGGAAGAAGACCAGGTGGCACAGGCCACCGCCAAACACCCAGCCGCGCGGCTCGAAGGCGTAGGCCAGCGTGAGCGGCACGCAGGCGGCGCACATGAGCACGTCGGACAAGGCCAGGTTGCCTATGAGGAAGTTGGTCACGTTGTGCAGCCGACGCACCCGTGCGATTACCAGCACCAGCAGGCAGTTGCCCACCAGCCCCACGACCACCACGATGCTGTAGAGCAGCACAATCAACCCCTTTAGCTGATGCACCAGCTGCAGACTCTGGAACGGCGTGACTGCCTGAGCGCCGGGGCCAGCCACCGACCCGTTGCTCGCCGAGGCCTCTGCACTCTGGTTGGCCGGAGTTGAGGCCGCCGGTGACAGTCCAGAAAATAAGTCTGGAACCCGTGGGCCCCGAGTCGCCAGTGAGGCCATGGCCACCTATCCAAAGAAAATCAAAGTCCGTCACTTCCCATTCTCCATCCACCCTCTCCCCCACCAACCGTCTCCCTCTCCCAACTCAATCACCGAATACTCCCTTTGGAATAACTGGTCAAAATAAATAACAACAATAAAAAGTGCTGTCATCCCACCTCTGTAAAAAATAAACCTATGCGTGGTTAGACATGCACAGGCGATTTAAACGCCTCCTGCTCAATGTAGAGCCCTCGCAGTCCACGCACGCCAAACCCAGGAGCATGGTCCTACCTGGTATGTGGGGCCAGGCGGGCGGGAAAGCGCTCGGGAGAGGGAGCAGCAGAATCCCTGCTGTCCCCTAGTGGTCCTCCGCCCAGGACTGCGGCGCAGGTTTCTCGCTTCTCCGCGGAAGCTGCACAGATTCAGGAGTTCCCAGGGAGGGGGCTCGCAGCTTTTGAGGGGGACTGGGAGCGCCTCCCCTCCGCCCCACCCCCCACTCCAGCGCTTCCTTGTATGGAAAATGGGGGCGGAGCAAATAGCACCTGACTCGGTGCTTAGACAACTAGAGAGAAGGACGGTGTGAGGAGGATGGAAACACACAAGGAAGGAGGGGTCGACAAACCTGGACCAGAGGGTTAAGAGGGAATCTCAACCGCGGGAGCTTGCTGCGCCCTGGGAGCGACCCGCTCCAGAGAAGGGTGGGATGGACCGGAGGAGAGGGAGGCGTGAAGCGCCAGTTCTGGGATGACCTGGTGCAGTTTCAATAGGAAAGAGCAGGGGAGGAAGTGGGATGGGGGGTTGAGATACACCACGGGATGTGAGAGGGAAATGAGGGACCCTTCCTTAAGCGCTGGGTCCTGCGTAGAGTCCGGACTGGGGTTAAGAGAGTCGCATAGGGGGTTCCGGCAGTGGTTTAAAATTTAGGGCCCGCAGCTCGCCGCAGACCTTCAGGCCCTTGCCCTCCCCGGGACCCGCTGAGCCCTTCGCCCCGGCTGAGGCTCCGGCGAAGCCCAAGTACGAGTTCAGAACCACGGACAGCTTCCGCGCGCGGGCCCTGCTGGGCGGTGCCTGCTGGGTGGACGCCTGCGAAGGGACTACAGTTAGGGAGTTCCGACCCCTCTCTGGGTCCGATGCATTCGGAAAAAGGAACAGCCTGGTTCAAAGAGCTTCCTCACCGCCTGTTTCCTGGGCTAGGGCTGCCGACTTAGAGAACAGTAGGGTGCAGTGGAGGCGGAGAGGCCTGGGTCTCTTGAGAATTGGAGCGTGGTGACTTGTGCTCTTGCTGTGGGTCTCCACACGTCGTGTCAACAACGACGCTGTATTTTACTTCCCTAGGCCAGAAAATACAGCCATCGTGCCAGTTACCCTACCCAAGCACACTTCAATACCTGGCCCCCAGTAGTTAATTCCCTACTCACCCTTTTCCACTCTTTCTCTCTCAGCTACCGTGCCCTATTCCTTATCTGCCTGACTTTCCCAGTACAGAGCGTAAGTTCCTGGACTGGGATCCTTCCCTCTTCCTCCGTATATGAACACCTTCAGGCCTCCTCGCCTCATAAAAGGATATATACTAGTAATTGCAGGATTTCCACTAGGATAACGAAAGTAAGAAACATTTGAGAAGCTTCAAAATTAAGTAAAATCTTCAGTAGTTTGAAGTCGTCATTGAAATGCAAATTAACGTGGGCCAAGGTGTGAGTAGGGTGGGGGAGGAGGCTTTGTAACCTCCCTCCCTTGAAGCTATCTCGATCCCTCCCACCTTATTTCCTTGTTCCAGAGGGCGGAGTGTCAATGCTCCCTCTCTGGTAAAACTTTGTACTTTGGCTTCTGGCTGCAGATATTTTTGTTAGGATGGAAAGAAGTTCAATTAGTCCACCCTCCGAATGCAAGTGATTCACCCATGCAGGGGGGAAAAGGCAACATTGGAACAAACGCAATCAATTTTATGCATCTGGATTTATTCTAAACCCATACTCTCTGGGTTATAATCAATTTAACTAAAGCCAGTATAATATGAAAAGAATAAAACATCAAAATAAAATACAACCTGTGCCTGCCTAAATCCCTCACCCAGTAATCTTTCTCATCATGTTTAACAACAGGGTTATATGTGCTCAAGAGCACTCTTTTGCTTCAAAATATCTTAAGCGGAGGAAATTGTGGTATTGCAGGTGAGAAAGGATTTGGGACTAGGCCCCATGACTACAGCCATCATTCTGGTCAATATATTGATATCTAATACTAAAAATAATAACAAGATTAAAGCCCATGCAGATATCAGTATTTGAAAGTTCAATTTTGGGGGACCCTCCAAAGAAGAGTTGATCCTTTGCCAAGTTTCAGATAAAATCTGGTAAAGGTTTCGGTGTTGTCAGTATTTGCAAGGTGAAAAGGAAGTGAACATCTTAGAATATGCATAGAATGGCCCACTTTAGATCTGTTTTCTCTCTGGTTCTCACTGGAGTTAAGACTGCTCTCTCTTTCAGTTATGACATTACGATTAAACCATATTCATGTTCAGACTTTCCTGTACAGATAGTGCTCCAGAAACCCGAGAGATCCTAAGTAAACAAAAATCTTTTAGGACAACTGAAGGAAAGATAGTACTTCATATAGTAAATAGCAAACTACCTGTAGTTTTATTACCTCCCTTTTCCTCCACCCGCAGCCTTCAATGGCCCATCAAACAAATGCCAGACCCATTGGGGCCAGCCGAGTGGCTCAGTTGGTTAAGAGCTCTCTCAAGAGTGCGAGCTCTGAGCAACAGCGGTTTTGAGACCCGCCTGAGCTGAGCAGCCACTGAGCTGCCAACAGGTGGCAGGATGGCTCAGCTAAAAAAAAAAAAAAAAAAAAGCCAGACCCATTAACATGGCATTTTCAATCAACAGGCACCCCTATTCTGATCTTCCTTCATTGGAGGGGAAGGATATGGCTTCCCACCTCTGTCCACCTCACTCTCTATATTCAGGTCAAACTGGACTGTTTCTTGGATGCTGAAATGTCCTCACCACCCCTGTCCAACATTTCTCTTCAGGTTTATTCCCTTTCTCCGGAATGCTAGTTGTTTCATCCCCACTCATTTCCACATTCCTCACATCCTACAAGGCCCAACTCAAAGATTACCCTCACCTCAAAGTCTTTACCTGTTCATGATCATTCTGTCCTTCATTACATTCTACCTTTGAAATTGTGAAAGTGTTTTTGCTCCCCTGCCTCCACCAACCATGGCTGTAAACTCTTTATGGATAGGAGTCAGTGTCTTGAAGCATTTTTGTACCTACAGCATGCCTGAACTTAGCAGATACCCAATACATTATTCTTTTTATTGAACAGGTTTAAAAAAATAGCTCCATTTGTTAAGGCAGTGGTTCTCAACCTGTGGGTTGAGACCCCTTTGGGGATCGAATGACCCTTTCACAGGGGTCACCTAAGACCATCAGAAAACACATATTTTCAATGGTCTTAGGAACCG